GCTTAAGCATCAACAAGAGAAACAAGAACAACAATAAAGTATTAAATTATAGTATGTGTTCGCCGGAATTAAACTTTATCTTTAGAAATAACCTTAAACAATGAGATTTATTTCGTTCAGAACGTCATTTATAAATACAAAAGCAAAAAAGCGTTATGATTAATCTACGAGGGACTGAATTAATGTTTTGAAGTACAAGATGAAATTGTTAAACACTAGAAGTGTGTGAAGCATTTTTGGTCGTATGGGTCTGTACTGTGAGATGTCGCCATGCACTCTTAAAAGACGTGACATTATGTTTCAGGTGTGCCTTGACTAAAAATAGTTATGTTCCAAGGTTGCACGGTATCTATTTACATTTTATGATTAGCTAAATGAAAAATGAATAAATAATATCAGGAGAATTTTAACGAAATATCTTTCCCATGACCAATGACCTACACTGACGAACGTTATGAACAATTACAATTACGCGTATTTCTACGTTGCCGCGATACCTTGGTTTGTAGTCGTAATCTAAAATTCACGGATTCTGATCTCACTAATGTCAGTCCTGGTCGACAGTTTATGTCTGTCCTTTAGAAAAGAAAGCAATTCCCGTTTCCTCGGCTTGATATAGTGCGCTATTGAAAATAATCTTTTTCGTAATAGAGCATTCGCAAAACGTTGTAACATAAAGACAGGAAACATCGGCACAATTTTCAAATTACTAGGGATACATCATTTGCGTTCTTGTTTAACTTTGAGTCTTAAAGAGGTCACAAAGAAAGCGGGACATTCGCTCGCATGACTTTCTTTTATAGTTATAATAAATCGTATGTACCTGCTTATTATTATACCTTACGTTTTAAAAGTGTATAATGTAAGTTGAAGACGTCAAAGCGGAAGAGACTCCAGCGCAGCTTTAGGCATGAATATGGTAGACGTGATGATTCTCGATACAGCGGATTACTGCATTGTGGGAATTTAATTGTAATTAAGATTTAAAGGTCATTTTTACTGCATATATCATTTCATTTGCCAAGAAACACAGATGATTCGATATCTGAAAGTTTCTACCAAGATAAAACAGTGATTATAAAGATGCAACGGATTGGAAACTCACCCACCTCTGCTGTATATGTTCGGTATGGTTCACGCGTGAAGTTACATGGACCTGCGCACTGTGGTGTTTCTTACATCCGGAAATATTTGAACATTCAGTTAAACTTACCAATCATCATCATAATGTTTTAACATAAATTACAAAAGTCAGATCTATTTTGTTACTAATAAGCAAGACCTTGTGTTGATTTAAAGCCTTTAAAACGCAGTAATTAAAGATCCTTGTCTAGATAAGGTATCATCTCTAACCAAACGTCATTCTTTAGGATTCCGAACACTTTTACTTTTGGACCAGTTTTAACAAAAATGGAAATGTTATTTAAAAAAAATCTACACATTTGTATCCAAGTGTAAACTTGAAAGAAGAAAAAATATCTTCGATTTGGATTGACGAAATGTGTTACACGTGTTTGTATCATGAGTTGCAGAGAAATCTTTGGAGTAATTCTAAACCATTAAAAGCATATAGGCATTGTTTGGACGTTGAGCTACAGAGACTCATTGGTCCGCGTGGTGTCGGACTCAGGACGGGATACAATGCTGACATCGGATCTACATGAATATGTTGCTGTCGTGCTCCCACAGAAATGCACTTTATGGTTGTCTACCTCAACAAGACATGTTTTTAAAGTGAAAATAAATTGCACAAAACTTCAAAAGTTGCGAAATATAATATTTTGTTTCCTTGTATAGAAAATTGTGATCGTACAGCTTGTCATAACTGATATTTTACAATGTTGTCTCCTTTGTAGTGTTGCTGCTCTTTACAAAGACTGTATCAAAATGCTGCCTATTTGTCCTGATACATGCAAGCATCGTGTCATCAAGAGAGTAATAATATAACATTGGTTATTTTTCAGGAACATAAGCGAAATAAAAAATAAAAAAAAATATCTAATACAAAAGATATATAATGATTATATTGGTCCCCACTGTAAATCTTTTATTAAAATTGGAACTGAATACTAGAGTTTGAAATGACATCAATGTCTCAATGGAATCCCCATCATAAATCATATTTTCGAGAATGAAACACAGCACTAAATTTGGTATCACGTCAACTTATAAATGGAGTCCCCACCATAAACGTTTGTGTTTTTTCAAGAATGAAACAGAGTAACTGGATTTTGATTTGACTTCTATGCATAAATGAACCTCTTTCAGGGTTCGAAGGATTGTACCACCGAGCGCTCAAGGTCATGTTTGTAAAAAAATTACGTTGTTTGACAGTGCTGATGTTGCATCTCTTTGAAATATTCTAATAAGGGTTTAGGGTTAAGGGCTAAGGGTTACGAAACGTAAACACTTCATTATATGGACCCTTTCGCTATGACCTTGGAATCAAGGGTAAAACCATATAAACCTTTCATTAAAGTTTACGTTAAAGTTTCGTTTTGTTCTTCTTTAGTTTATATTTCCAAATCATCTTCATGCATGGGATGAACCATTATGACCCTAAAGCAAATCAGTAAGAGACATGTACGAGTACCTCTTTCCTATGGGGTTAAGGTCATATTCCTTAGAAGTGTGAGTTATAGTACTGCTTAAAGTTAAATGTTTTGCTTATATTTACTAAAGCACTCCATAGATTGTATTCATGGTTTGGATGAAGGCAATTCTCTCTGTAATAAGCTAATTAAACTAATTTATTTTTGTCAAAGTCCAACATTTGTGATTGTTTCTGTTTAAGTTTGAAACATTTAATAGTAGTGCAGGTTCCGACCTTCTTGTTTACTTGACTCTAAACTTTCTAAAGAATGAGAAGAGACGAATTGATAGCACCCGTTAGTTGCTTCATATGTCCATTAGCTTGACATACATTATGTCGCACATTACTTTGTTGACATTGAGAGAGAGAGAGAGAGAGAGAGAGAGAGAGAGAGAGAGAGAGAGAGAGAGAGAGAGAGAGAGAGAGAGAGAGAGAGAGAGAGAGAGAGAGAGAGAGAGAGAATTTTGATATCAAAATATCGATTACTTATGTCATTTGTCCAAAACAACAAAGCCATCCCTATAACGATTACAACACTTGTCGACTACGTGCCGTTGCTAACATATGAAACAGGATCCAGGATATAACAATCAAGATCTAAACATAATACCTTCATCACATACCTGTACAGACCCTCTTAACCTCTATCAAGTTGAGTCAACCAAGTTCAGGGTAACATTAAACCTACAGACATGACACAACTCCACTCTTGGGCAGGATGTGCACCTAAAATCTTGGCAGTGTTGCCCGTTGTGATACAGTATTAAGTTTGTATTTTGATATCATTCACAAACATACATCTTATTGTCACAGACCACGCACCTTCTTAAATTTTCCTTTGCATTCTACTTTTAATTTTGTTCAGAGCCGACGTTTGGTATGTTGCAAAGTCAGAATATCCAGCCGGAAACCTGTTGTTTCTAATGAATCCTAATTTATTAAAACAATGTTTAAGAAAATTGGCCCGTTGCGGGCTTAATTAACATTATCACCTTTTGACGCTGACAATGGTATAATTTCGTCCTGATGTCCCATAACGGAATGTTTTATGTTTCAGACCTTTTCGAAATGTTTTAACAATTACAGAAACAAAAACGCAAGCAAAATAGTAATTGCGGAACTAGTTTTGTGAGAGAAAAAAACATATGTAATTTAAACAAAACAAAGCACGCAAGCAACAAGACAGAGAAACTGGCCAAGAGATCTCAAGTTTTAATTATCATGTTTGCAAGATAGAAAGAAAAAAATAACAGTTACAAAAACAAAAACGTAACCAAATATTCGATATGCTGTTGATATATGGTGCATTATAAATTATAAAATTTAATAATATAAGCAACCCAACAAAACAGAAATAAAAATATCCAAGAAAGTAACAAAACAAACACAAACTGTGCACTTTGACTTGTTTACATTGTGGCAAATAGGAAGGTTCAAGTTGGTATGAGGACTGTTTTGTGACCACAGCTTTCACACAGATAAACAATTAAACTGACTTAAAGCAAATGAATCTACCCGGATGCGGCAATAATATCGAGTATTGATGAATCACGATGAATCACCCAAACTTGTATGCCCGATAAACTCTTTCGCACACTTCAAAAAGAAAAAAAGAAACGACCATTTAGATGGGTCCTGTACATACATCATGTTTTCCTCTCCCAGACATATCATATTTTTTCTATACAAATGATAGCAAGTTCAATGGTGTGAAAATGTTTGACCTGAAATACTTGTTCGCCAAACCTTACACGATAACAACTTCACATATGCATAAACCTCTTCAAATATTAAGTCGTCAATATTTTCCATTTAAAAAATGACATCAAATTTCTATGTTCATTTTCTTGTAAGACATGCAAGCGATTTTGTTTGCATTTTACTGCAACCGCTGCATGCACACCTAACTAAAAGTGTCTTGAGTATTTTTTGAATTTGTATTGCGTAGTTTCCCTTTGTTGTAGGCAGAACAAAAAGCGAAAACCAAATACGTTTCGTAAAATTCAACAATGTAATTCCCTTGAATACAAAAGGTGAACATTTTAAATGAAATTACAGTACTTAGGAAAATCTCAGAGAATCTTAAAAATTGTAAGCGAAGGTCCAAACCATGAATCATTCCAAATGAATTCCGATATTGAATTTTCTGAAAATAGTGTTGACTAGCTAACAGTCTTGATGTATACATATGTTATAATTCAAAATGGTCATTAATATAATCAAAATAATCCTAAAGTAGTAAACGCCACTTCATTCCACTAAGACTGATGGAAAGATATGTACAGAATAATAGTTTTGATCAGAGTCTCTACATTCCACCACCCACCCCCAAAAAGCAAATTTGGATACAATTTCAGAACCAGTATGAAGGTCGAAAGTTCATTTGTTATCAAATTCATAATAAAATGAATTTCTTCGGTGGTCTAGTGGTAGAGCGTCCGCCTTAGATGCGGAAGGTCGCAGGTTCGAACCCCGGTTGAGTCATACGTAAAACTTACAAAAATGCTGCAAACAACTGCATCACTTGGTGCTAAGCACCAATAGGTTATTCTTAGGATTGATTGATCTTGCGTCAGGACAACGAGATTGGGTGGGATTCATGCTACATGCCTGTGGCATGATGCTCCAGTGCTAAATATCATTCTAAACTGTCACACTGCAGATATCGTAGCGCTATGACTGAAAAATTGCTAAGGCTACGTTAAAATTCTTAATCACACTCACACACACACACACACACACACACAGAGAAAATAAATAATATGTGGGTAGTCAGTTAGGACTCTACTCTCAATTATAGTCAAGGGTCACTCCACACACACACACACACACGCACACACCCAGAGTCTAAATTCCATTATTGTAAATCTATTGGGTTAAAATTGAAATTTTTAGTTTATGTATTAAATTATAAAACTTTAATTCATTTTTATTATTTAAGGGGGCTCTTATTTGTTATTTCTTCTCAATAGTCTAGCTCTGTTTTCTGTCAATGTTCTCTCTATCCAGTCACACTGTGCAAAAACATCGAGGGCGCTCATCCTCTAATTAACGATCGCCAAATCAATTAAAGACATTTATAAATATCAGTCTCAAATGAAATTAACAAGCCACATCAACAACAATGGCAAGAAGAAGAAGAAGAAGAAGAAGAAGAAGAAGAAGAAGAAGAAGAAGAAGAAGAAGAAGAAGAAGAAGAAGAAGAAGAAGAAATAATAATAATAATAATAATAATAATAATAATAATAATAATGCGAAGGAGACCACTACAGATAATCATTGTAAAATGCATACAAAATGAGCAAGCACTTTTCTCAATTATGCAGTTCTACTCCCCGACACATCGCACAGGTCTTACGACTTTTTCTATTTTTGACCTGCCACAATCACTCCCTCCCTCAGTACTCAGCTCTTTGCCGTTCCTTGTGGGATGGATTAGAAATCAAGATCCATTTATCGCCTATCTGTCTGTCTCTTGAAGTATTCAGATAAGGTGACGTAGACCTACCTGTCTTTAAACTCGCACCTACTTATACAAGCGCACATAAAAAAGAAATCACGCGCGCACACATTGGATACATAATAAGGTCTCTATGCTAACAAAAGTTGTGACGATCACAAAAATTGATGCCAATATAATGTAGGAATATTGTAACATAATCCCTTGCCAAATGTATGTAGCAAACTCACTTTGATCTGAAAGGTATTTAATCTATCAGATAAGTAACTGAAGTTTACAGGAATAGTTTACGTTTTTTTCTATAATCTTTTGAAGTTTTAAGGATATCCTTTAACCAACCAGATGAGGTAAGAACATTAATCCACGTGGATCAAAATTGTCTGTGAAACGATTATTTCGTCTTTTCTTAATATCTTGGATTTAGCGAGATTGCGATTTGTGACGTCTGCCATATTCAAACATCGGAATTGCACGTACTGTTGACTAAATTTGGGGCCCCGAATAGCCGAATGGTCAAATACGCTTACCCTTATGGATCACTGCCATCTTCTACGCGGGTCTGAGTCTCGCCCAAAGTGGGAACGTGAGAAAAATTTTCAGTAGCTTGTCATGGGTCGGTGGTTCTTTCCTGTGTTCTTTTGGGGTTTTCCTCTACTATTTATACTGGCCGTTATGTATAGCCTATTTTGTGCTGAAAATGGCGTAAAACTCTGCAACAACAATAAAAAGTGTCTATATGATTTAACTTGTTTACAAAATCTCCTTTGTTTTAGGTGCTTGAAACATTTACTATTTGAAATCTAAATCAGATAAAATTAGTTTATTTAAGTGTACTTTACAAATAAGAATGTAAACACTGAGCATGAACATTCACGTCGCATTGTAAAATTGATTTCTAGAAATTGAAGCAAATTTGATAAACTATTCTGATTTCATACACTTCCAGATAGATGTCTGATAAGAAATCTGTGAGACCATGGAACAATTGGTAAGTGTTCTCGGCCGCTCCTGTAGCCTACTGGTTAAAGCGACCGCCTCGGATGCGGGATATCGCGGGTTCGAAACCACCACCCCTCTCCTCGGCTGAGTCATACTAAAGACTTATAAAAATGGTATTTGCAGCTTCCTCACTAGTCGCTCAGCAAAACGCGGTTAGTGTTCGAACTGGTCGGTCTGGCGTCGGGATAATGTGACTGGGTGGGACATTATGCTACACGTCTGCGGTATAATCACGCAGTGATAACACTATAATCTGCCACACTGCAGACATCATCGAGATATGACTCACAAAATGTTCTGTCAGGTTTATCGCCACCTTTTAGCACAGAATATGCTTGATATACAAGGTGGCCAGTTTAACTGGTGGAGAAAGAACATGGAAAAACCGCGGGAAGAACCAACTACCAGCAAGCTTTCTCACGAAAGCTATTACATGTGAGGCAACACAGGAGATAGAGCAGTGAAGTATGAAAGCCTAAACGGCGCACTAGCGAGCAAACTATGGTATATTCGACATGGATGCGGTACAAAATTGTAATTGAATATAGCTACATAATTAGAAATACAGACTTACAATATATACAGAAACAAATGTGAACGTAGATTTTTAAAACATTTCACACTATTCAGCTTGTTCATAAAGTTTTACCCTGACATTATTCTCATTAATGATTATTGCCAACAGAGTTGTACAAGTGTATCATAGTGTTTCTCATAACCTGCTGCTCGTGGATCGTACAGGCCATCATACATTTAGTGTTTTGATCTGCTTTGATATCAGAATAATATTGGCTATTTAGTGCTAATTAAATGTGAAACATTTAGATTTCGGAATAATAAAAATGTTTAATTGTAAAGATAAAATATTGCCAAAAAATATTTTTGTTTCAAAATATGGCAAGATTAATTTTAGCATGAACTTATTTTCTGGATCATAAGATATACAGTAGATAGAGAAACCAACATCATTATCATCGATGTAGGTATCATCAATAATGACCCGCTCATTCCCCAACCCCCAGTCCGCAAAATGAAACTCAGTTTGTGGGTAATGTATTGCAGCTCTGATTGAGGAAGTCTGAATTTCTGTTCCGTCCTTCGAGTGCATTATGTCTTTAAAACAATGATGCTCCAGCGTTTCCAACGTATCAGTACCGATACGTTTGACCTAAATGGTTAGAACGCCCGCTTCAGATAAAGGAGGTAGCGGGTTGAACCTCGTTCTAATCAAAACAAGGACTTAAAATAACGGTATTAGCTGCTGCATCGCTTGGTTCTTATCAACTTCGCAAACCAAGGATGCGATATGTTAACCATAACTACACTTCGTCGCGTCTATCAGATATTTGTAACTTTAACATCAAACGTATGACTACGTACCATAGTTGCATCTGAGTGAAAGGTATTTGTACATAAACGGATCGGCAATTCAATTTTCGTCTTTTGAGTCCATTCAGGTTTTGTGGTCCCTTTGCCTCGATCATGTAGAAACAGAGCTCAGATTTTAACAACTTAATTTTAATTGGATGCGGCGGGTTGCCTCCGCATTCAACACACTCACAGACCCCAAGCAAAATAATATCTGCTCGATCCGCCAAGGAGTGGATATGGATAGCATATCAAAAACCTTGGCTACGTAGACAAGCGCTCATCATGAAGAGTTTATAGTTAGGACTGGTAGGTCTGGTGTCATGATAATAGGAGTAGGTAAGACACGATGATATATGTCTCCTTGCATGATGTTCCAGTACTAAACACCACCATAGACTGCCACATTGCAGACATCATCGTAGCAATATGATTGGAAAAATGTTAAAACTTCGTTCAAACCCCTCCTCACCTCTCTGTCTCTGTCTCTGTCTATCTGTCTGTCTCTCTCTCACTCACACACACACGCACACACACACAAATACATACACAGAGACAAACACACATAAAAAACAACGTATCAGATATTGTCACCATGACTACCCAAATAATGCAATCAAGTGATAAATAGTTGGATTAATAATATGGTTAAATGTTCTACAGCACAACAGCAAGTGTTTGTTACTTAGTGCCAAGGCAATGGCAGTAAAGTATCTTGTCAAGGAACACGTCAATCTGTTTAGAACGGTTTATCCTCCACCCTTTCGTGTCATCCGTTGGGGATGTTAATCACTGAGGAACCACAGTCCCTGTCTCTCTTAGTCTCATGTTAGTCACCGACAGAATATACAGGATAGGGGACAAGGAGAGGGGTGGAGTGGAGTGGCTGGAAATTTCTTTCTATACAGTATATTTTTTTATCGAACACAATATTAATTTGGTTTTCAAGCTATACTGGAACTAGAAATTCCTCTGACCCTTATGCCAAAAATTATAGCCCGGTCGCCTACAACATACGAGAAGGTGTATTAAACCTTAATTACATCCTGGAACTTCCGGGGGGGATATCAGTACTGTTTTCGCAAAAAGGCTTTCAATTTTAAGCTAATCTATTTGAGACATACAATATGCTTTACACTGATCGCAGGATAACCGCGGTAGCTAAGTTGTTACTGTGTCGCATTTGTTATCAGATGGTCACACGTTCGATATCCTCCCAGGACAGTCCAAGTCGGATGCCTTAGTATGTCACTAGGAATGGTAGTTAGCTCCTATTTCCTCATTATGATATAGCCAATAATGTGTCAAAAACATACAACAATAAAAAATCCATACCCCATTCAATAATTTATCTTTCCATCCCGCATACGTACGTACGTACTTCCGCACGCACGCACGCACGCACGCACACACATTTTAGAAATTCCAAGATTTACTATTCCCAGAAGATGTAAGATCTAGATAACATATTTTGGTATGTGACATTTTCGACTGTGTGCGGTGGGAAGAAGGAACGTTAGTGTAGATGTTGATATTAAGATACAATGCTGTTCTTACGACGCGCTTATTATAAGAGAACAAAAAAAATCTTCACGACAATCCAGCAGATTCTGAAAATAATAAAATAAATAAAAAAAATCCATAAAAGAAGAAATACTCGGGAGGCGAAATGACACCATTTCTAATCCGAAATAAATGTGGAAGGAAAAAAATTTGATAAACAGACGTTTCTATCCATTGGACACGCAATACGCATGTGTCATTGTCCTCTACACTGTAACGAATTTCCTTGGGTTCATTTTCCTGTCTTTAGTATGATCTGAACTTGTCACATAATATAATGTAACATGAAAGGACTACAAACAAATGACACATTTTATAGCACGCATATAGTCAGACATAAGTGAATTAAAAAGATTACACACAAAAGAACCGTTGTATAACGATGTCTGAACATTATAATTTCCCTTTGAAATCCCATAAAGCGGTATTAATGAAATCACGATGACATGACAAATAGTGAACTGTTCCATGTTTGAGGGAGTTTTAATTGACAAATGTCACAACCAAGTTCATGTTAATCATCTAATTTTCTTATTAACGTGATATGATTTTCGGTGCTAGATTCATTTAAAAAATATTAGATTTTCACAATTACTCAACCAAAATGTTTAAGAAAGGATAAATCTAGAAACAAATTAATATACATACATTTTGGACCATATGCGTACCCAAACTGTTAATTTGTACAAATATATGCTACTTGCCCACAGACAACGTTCAGTACTTTAAAACTTTCGGTCAATGGAACTATACGTAAGTAAGGAAAAATTATCCTTATTCAAAAGACTGTGTAGGGATGAATGGTCATTTACGTCTGGGAAGTGTTGGTTTATACTAGGCATTAAAAGTCCAAAAGAAAACAAAATGCTTGGAATCGGCACAATGCAGGTGTTATTCAAAACTACGAAGAAACTACCCGCAGTACAAATATGGAATTAAGTAACGACTTACTTCGAGTCATAAACATTCATTTAGATGTGAGATTAAGTTACATACTGTTTCTTGGAGGCAAATTTTCATCGATGTTATTTTCATCGATGTTATGGCCTCTCTCTGAAATAGTGGCACGTTTCTTGGTAAAAATATGATATGTAAACTGTGGAAAGAAGACTTACGACAGAGCCAAACATCTTATTTTAGGTTGTAAAACGCTTCGTGCAGAACACAGTGCTTTTTTGAGAGTGGTATTTAAATTTTGGAGATGAGATAAGGGGATGACGAGCATGAAGGCAATATACTGTTGGAAACACTTCATGGAATTAGGGCTGACTCTTTGTCATCTATTGATGACGATGTACAGAATAAACTCGTGATGGTTAGGGTGTAGTTACAGTAAAATGCATGCCCTATAAACAAATGTATCTCAGCATAACACTGAAGAAAGTATTATAATATTTTAAAGAAATCTGTACAATGGTCATGTTATTAAAGTTAAATTTTATTGTATGGCAACAAACAGAAATGTAAAGTTCTGGTTACTACCACAGTTTGTCTCCTATGTTCTCTATTTCCTCATGGGGCTTGCTTCTTGTTATTCTATACACACTCACACACACACATACACACACACGTATGTATGTATGTATGTATGTATGTATGTATGTATGTATGTATGTATGCATGTATGTATGTATGTATGTATGTATGTATGTATGTATATATATATATATATATATATATATATATATATATATATATATTTATATATATATATATATATATATATATGAATATATATATATATATATATAGTAAATGATGCAAGATAAATGATGCAAGGTAAATGAACCGCTCAGGAGGCCTAGTGGTTAGAGCGTCCGCATCGGATGCGGGAGGTCATGGGTTCGATCCCCGGTCAAGTCATACCAAAGATTTACGAAAATGGTACTAATCGCTAACTCGCTTGACGCTGATCTAGCTCTAATTTCTTTTAGTGAAGAGTTTCAGGAAATTTAGCCAGGGCTTGTATAGGACCACGATTTGTAGGGACAAAACATTAGCATCAGGCCTGAATATGGACAATGGGAATTTTGTATTGGAACAGGTGGGATGACGTCACGGTTCTGGATACTTATATCAATGTAGCTAGGAAGTGACCAGAGAGAGAGAGAGAGAGAGAGAGAGAGAGAGAGAGAGAGAGAGAGAGAGAGAGAGAGAG